AGAAGAAAAAACCACAGAAACATGCACTCTTGGCCCTCCGCGCGGATATCTTGGCTCCGGGCTGGACACCCCTGGCTGGCGCGCGGAGCGCGCCAGGGGCGGCGCTGGAGGCGCACCGCCGGGGGGGCCTAGGTGCGGATCCAAGAAATCCGCTCGGAGCGCCAAAAGTTGATTCTGCACGAACGAATGGGCACGGAAAGAATGGGTACAATGCTCAACAGCAGTTCCTGTTCATTTTGGACAGGACTCGCTGTCCGCGCCGCCGCGGCCTGTGCCCATTCGGGACAGAAGGCCGCCTGCCCAACAGCGGCCGCTGTTGGTTTGGGGCGGCATTTGTTGTTGCGCATTGTGCCCATTCTTTCCGTACCTTTTTCGGGCGCCCAAATTTATGCTTCTGTGGTTGTTTCTTCTTCTAGCTTGGCGTGGCGTCGCCCGAGCGGCGCACGAGAGACGGGGCCGGCCGCGCGGGCGCTCGCGCGCGAGCGCCGCCCGCGCAGGGCCGCGCGTGAGCGCCCTCGCCTCCACGCGGCCTGCCGCGCTGCTAGGCCCTCGACAGGGGGGATACTCAAAAATAGTCAAAAACTAGTCTGGGTACTATTTGTTTGAGTCCTTCGGGGCATCGTTCCAGCATTTGTTGGGTGCTTCTTATGTTTTTCGCCCCAAAACTCCCCTATATATAGGGGGACAGGCCCGACCTAAGGCAAGCGTAAGGTCGCCACGTTCGCTCGCGTCGGCCCCCCGTCTTTCCGCCGCTCGGCTACAGGTGCGCCCTTTCCGCCCGGAGGCGGCCTCTCCTGGCCGACCACCTCCCCCGCGCGGGCCGGCGGCGCCGCTCTTTCTCTCCCGCGCCTGCCGGTGGCCCCTCGGAAAACGAGCGCCCGCGTGCTCGCCAAGGCGCGCGCCCCCTCTCCCTGTCGGGGGAAAGGGAGAGAGAGAGAGAGAGAGAGGGAGAGAAAAGGGCGAGGAGGGCGAGGAGGACGAGGAGGGCGAGGAGGGCGAGGAGGGCGAGGAGGACGAGGAGGACGAGGAGGGCGAGGAGTGCGAGAGTGCGAGGAGGAGAGAGAGAGAGAGAGAAGGGCGAGGAGGGCGAGGAGGAGGGCGAGGGCTGTATGCAAAAAAGTGTTGACGCACGCGCAGCATCCGAATCCATTCTGGCTCAGGCCCTCGATTGTGGCTCAGGGCAGTGTGGCCTGCGCTCGCAACAGCATGTCTTCAGAACGGCGTAGTGCAGTTGCGGGCCTTGGTGGCATTCGTTCGTTCACGCTCGCTCCTGCGGGAGCTAAGTTCGTGTCATCGCACCTCAGTCCCGTAGCAGCAAAGATGGCGGACATTCCAGAGCCGCCTTCTGCCGCCATTGTTCTCCAAGAAGTTTCGAGCGTTGGCCAGGTCCTCGCGCCAGGGGCTCCCGCTGCCATCTGTGAAAGTTGGGAAAACTCAGCCGAGCTGCGAGTCCTTGTCCAAGCAGCCTGCGCGCAGCCAGCCTCCTGGCCCTGTTCTCTCCAACAGGGGGGGGGGGGGGGCTTCCCTGGGCCAAGTTTTGCACCCCGAGCTTTCTTTTGACGGTCCCCTGGCCTGGCGAGGGCTCCTGGAGGTTGAAAGCGGCCAGCACATTGCCGCCGTGAATGTTTTCACGGCGAGACGGGATACGGTTTTGAAATCACAAGGTACCGCTGGCTTGGAGTATGTCCCGACCAGAACGTCGAAAATGATTCAGCCGTGGCACCGAGAAGCCTCGCGGCGCCCGACTGTCCTCAGAAGGCGCCCGCCTCTACCGTGAAGTCGGGCCTGTCCCTCTATACAGGAGGAATCTTCACAAATAGAACAAAATAGTCTGGAGACGATTTTTTGATTATTTTTGACCATTTGGGAGTATTTGTGGGGGTCTCCTTTACTTTCTGGGTGGTCTCCTATACTTTTTGGGGTGGTCTCCTTTACTTTTTGGGGTGGTCTCCTTTACTTTTTGGGGTGGCCTCCTTCACTTTTCGGGGGGCCTCCTTCACTTTTCGGGGGGTCCCCTTTTACTTTGTGGGTGGTCCCCCTTTTTACACTCTGGGGTATTTTTCATTTTTCGTCCAACACCCCCCGGGACACCCTGGCTACACGGTCGCCGCCGCAAAAACTGCCCGTTCAAGGCTGGCACCGCGCAAATGGGGCGCCGAACGGCGACGCGCACGGTCCGCGCGCCGAAGGCACTCTGGAAGTGCCTTCGGGGCGGCGCAGGGGCGACAACAACATGGAGGTGTTTGCGTGCCAGTGGATCTGTTTTGGCGGGGTTGGGCGCCCTGCTGCAGGGGGACCTGCCCGACGTAACTCCACCAGCAAAGCGGTGGCCACCTGAGCAGTGGCCAGGCTCGGGCTCTCCGGGCCGCGGGCGATCGAGCTCTCCGCCTCGGAGGCCCTCCTCGGGGCCTCCTCGGAGGGGCCCCTCCTCCTCCTCGGGCACCGACGCCCTCTCCTCGGTTAGGCCGGGCAGGTCCCCCGACTGACGGATTCTGGACGAAAACTTGGACATGGTCAGAGAAGCAGATTCCAAAATGTCAAAACACATCCAGAACAACATCGTCCCCGTGCTATTTGCTCCGACTAGTTTGGCACCGTCCTCCTGTGGAGGGACCCGCCCGACTCAACCCTTCGGGGGCTCCCGAGGAGCCGATGCCTTCAGGATCCCCCCCGGCGACTGGCGGATTCTGGACGAAAACTGGACATGGTCAACGAAACATGCCCCAAAGATCTAGAACAGCATCCTCCCCGTGCTATCTTGCCCGACCACTTTGGCACCGTCCTCCTGTGGGGGGACCCGCCCGACTCCACCCTTCGGGGGCTCCCGAGGAGCCCATGCCTTCAGGATCCCCCCCGCAGCCCCCGCCGGCTCAAAGCCCGGGGGCCCGCGTCCGCCCCGGCATGGCGCCGGCCATCGCGGGCGCCTCCCCGGCGGCACGATGCACGGCGGGCACTCGGCGCCCCCCGGGGGACGGCGGCGAAAAGGGCGTGGGCGCAAGGACGATCTTCCAGACTTCGGGGCCAGTTCCAGGGGAACAAGAAGTGGCATAAACATAAAAACTCGAAGGTCCGCGCGGATTTCGCGGATCAGCGCTGGCTGGGCCTTCGGGCGGCGCCTACGGCGCCGCCCCTGGCGCGCTCCGCGCGCCAGGGAGGGTGGTCCAGTGCCGATCCGAGAAATCCGCGCGGACCTCAGAGTTTTTATGTTTATGTCACTTTCTGTTCCCCTAGGTTCTCCTCCTGGATGATTATTGCCGATTCCAGATTTCCGACGTCGTGATCTTTTCCAAGGTGGACCTCAGGATTTCTCGACTCCGATTTCTCGACCCCGTCCCAGGGACATGTTTTTTTGTATGTTTAAAAGGTTTGTCGCTTTTGGACAGGAAGAGAGCCCAGTAAGAGCTCCCGGGGGCCGGACATCGCCAGAAACAGCCCGTCTTGTTTTTTGTTGACGGCGCGAGGTGCTTTGGGGTCCCAGAGCCCGAACCGGGCTTCCAGAGGCCGCAATTTAGGAACAGCCGCCAGCATATGCCGACTGTCTGGGTGCCCGTTAGCCAAGATCTCAAGCCCTTTCCAAGGGTCCATCCTGGCCTGTGAGCGACGAACACAACAATGCATAACAACATACATGGTCCATGGAACTTGTTTTCAAATTCCTTCGAGGTGTACCGTCAGTCGCGCCCCCTGTCCCCATGGTCACGATCGCGCGGGGCCCCCCCCTCCCCACACTCGCAAGCATGCGTCTGCGCTCGCAGGCTATGGCGGCGGCCATGCGCTTTGCATGCCGCGATGCGTGCGCACCACCATGGTGTTCCCAGGCACGGTGTGGCGCGCAGGCATAGGGTAATGCTCACACGCAGTTTGCGTCGGCGGCGCCCTCCGGATCCGGATCTCCTTTGGCCCTTTTGCCGCGTAAGTGTCCACGGGCATGCTGCGGGTGTTCGCAGGCACGCTGCGGCGCTTCCGAGATTGCGCTGCGTTGTTACGCCGTGGCGCTCGCGGGCGAGTACTGCGTTTTCTCGCAGGCGGCACTGCAATCTCGTGGCCTGGGCGCCCCCGCCCCCCCGCAGCAGGGGCGAAAGGACCCAGATGTCCGAGCATGTGGTCTCAATCCACGGATGTATGTTCGATGGCCCTCGGGTTTGTAGCCGGCCCCCCGAGGCCGAGTGGAGGGAAATCGTGTGGACTGAGCAGGTCAATGCGCCCGAAGTCTGTGCAGCTCCTCGTCCTCCTCCTCCTCCTCCTCCCTCTGCGGCTGCCCACGGCGCTCGAGACACGATCTCGCACTATCTTCTCATGCGCGGGTGAAACGAACGAGAGAAAACAGAGAGAGATAGAGAGAGAGAGAGAGAAAGAGAAAAAGAGAGAGAGAGAGAGAGATAGAGAGAGAGAGAGGGAGAGAGAAAATCTTCCCCCCCCCTCCCCCCCCTCCCCCCCGCCACTCGGTCGACGCCTGGCAGGGCGGGTCGTGCCTGTAGGTCGCAGTTGATGGCTACGGCCGCGTTCATGCCGTGAGACCTGAGAACAACTCCGCATCACGATCGAGCCTCGGCGAATATCTTGAGAGCCTGCACCTTTAGAGTATCCCGAGTCGTGGCTCTTGGGGCGCAGGGTCGGGCTGGCAGGGGCAGCCAGGACACTCGACCAAGCAAAGCACACACAATAGCAAACGTGAGTGCGGCTCTCAGTTGTTTATTTTCCTTGCAGCATGTATGCCAAGCACAGTTGGGGACCTCTGGGAGGCCCCAGAACATACCAAGTGTTCGTAAAAGCCTAGGAGTCAATGTGGGAAGTATTGCTACCAGTTGACAAGACTGCACATAGCTTCCTAATTCTGGAGCCTCTTGCGCAATCATATGCTTCGATGTAATATCTACCGAACAAGGCACTACACAATATGCAGCTTCTGACAGCATCCCGGAACATCTTTGCGCTACTGTGTCCCACCTTGGGGCCATCGAGCATAGACACATGATATGTTTTGGTTCGCTTGATTTGAGGGAGCGAAGGGTCCTCAAAACATCTTCAAGCAGGCTGGGCACACTCGATTCCCTGGCTGCGTTCTTCAGTCGATCCGGGTACACATGGGCCGACAAGTCGCTTGGCCCTGACTGCAGCGAAGTCTGCGCGGCGGCCTTCGGCTCTCAAATTCTTGGCCGTCGCTGCGTCTTCAGACCTTCTCTGGAGGAGCTCTTTCTCACAGGCTGGCTTGAAGCGATGCTGCAGCACTGCGAGACAAAAAAACAGCCAGGCAGTGTGATGAACTCTTTCCCAAACGACTGGCATGCCGATTCGCTAGCCTACCTCCCTGTAATATCTAAAGACGGGTGTGCTTCTGTACGATGATGTGTCCAGCCTCCGTGCGTCTTCAAACTCGCCCGACAGTCAAGGCAGGGGTAAGCTATCTAAACGCACCGGGCTTTTCAACACACCTGCTTACCCTTTTCGTCGGTGAGGGGCTCCGTGTTCCTTGATTGCTTCACAGTTTGCTTTGGGTGTTGCTTTGGTTTTCGATGGGAAATCGAAGTCCAACTTGTGGATCTAAGGGCCTCGTTCCTTATTTTGGGGTTCCTTGGGTCAACGCTCCGACTGTACACGCTCTTAACTGCGTCGCTCGCCTGACTAGCCAGGCCCACTCCATTGCAGCGCTACCGTGCACCTCGGCAAGACAGCCTGGTGGGATCTCGACTATCTGGTGCCTTGGGTTCTCAGCTGCGTTATCTTCCAAAACACCTGCACTTTCGTTCCAAGGGTCGTTAACAGGCGCACGTCTGCAATGTGCTTGTACGTATGTGCGCGCGCTCCTGCAGAAAGAACGGTTACTGGCTATGTTGGTTAGGGCAGCTTCCGAACCCGAGCCGAAACCTCTTGTCATGATCCCTAGGTCGGTCTGCGAACCGCTCCACATGACAGTTTCTGGTGGCTCGGGACCTCGCTGCCCTTACAAAGGTATATCTTTACTCCTGCACCCAAACACGAGGCCATGCCAAACCGTAGGGGTTGAAGGTGGTGCTAACCATGGGACAACGTAGTCGTGTCAGCAATCCTGCCGACAGGCCCCCTTCCGAACATGAGCCCGCTCTCAGCGCGGGCAGTCACGGCAAACGCCCAGCTCGACATTTTGGGATCATTGGGCAACGCTCCATCAGTACATACATATAACTGTATAGACATACATGTGTATGTCTATACAGATATACATGTACATACGCGTGCTTACAACTATGTACACGCATGTATTCATACAGCTATATGTTACTGCAAAGCTTGGCGTACCTCCTGCATGCCCTCTGCACCATCATATTAGCTGCCGTGTTCGCTGCTGCTACCATACTAGCGTGCTCCACGCTAGTCCCTGGTCTGAACCCAGGACGTGGCCTTTCATGGCCTCTAGCACCCTATGTGCCGCAGTGGTACTGCAGGTGGCCGTCTGGCTACGCTCCTGAAAACAATGGTTTAATGTGGGTGGAGCCTTACTGGTGTGCGCTTTTGATTCAGCATGTTGTGCGATGCTTTCCCTCGGAGATTGGTGCAGCCCTGGAGGTGCTGACAACATTGGTGTGGGTTCCACCTCTAAATCAAAATGCGATGTGACGTTTTGGCTGGACTCACTCCTTCGTTTTGGCTACCTTCCGCCGGTGGCTGCACAGTAGCTTTCCCACGGTGCTCGCGCAAAGGATGCAGTATCGAACGTCATTCGTTGACAAGTCTCCTGCGAATGTTTCAGGAAACAGGTTGACGTGCACGTTCTTCTTGCTTCTCGAGTTTGAGAGCTGGTCCTTCCACTCTTTCTCCGACCCCACTTTCTTCTCATGAGCCCTTAATTTTAGTGATCTCCAGATCCTCGACTTGTCGAATGTATCCTTTTTGACCGGGGTTGTCGATGATCCTGGAGTAGTCGGTGATGGTGCGTTGGCATTTCGATGTTGCGGCTTGCTTACGGGTACTTCGAGCTGGGTGCCTTACTTCTCGAGCACATTGATAATTACCGTCAAAACCATCGGCGTGGTCTTTTGCGACGACTGCATGACAGCGAGCTGCTGGGTGAGGAGTTGAACTTTCTTGGAGTTTGCTGGCTGCGGCTGCACGAGATGTCGAACTTCATTTCCCACTTGCAAGTTATTTGGCCATTTCCAAGTTCGTCGCCCTCTCTCGCTTCCTCCATACTCTTCATCATTAACTCGACCTCTGCCGTCTCGCTCTGGTGGTGGTCGAGATCCCCCTGCAACATGAGCGCGCTGTGTTTCTTCTGATGGATACTGTATGCTATGTTATCCAACATTGTCCGAAGCCCGGGGATCGTGGATGCGATCGTCTTGGTACTGAGTAACGTCTGCATCTCGACTGGCCTCAATATTGGCTGCTACTCTGGTCGTAAGCTTGATCATCAGATCCTGCGCCGCTTTCTTGAACTCGTTCACCTCCTCCCCTTATCATGGCGGTGCGATCCACGCGTGGTATGATACCGACTCTTCTGGGAGGGCTGGTGTGATCTCGTTGATTATCTTATGTGCGTGCTTCTGTACCTTGATGTGGTCGTCTGGCGTGCTCTTCTGATTCCATCTGGCCCGATTTGGCGCACGACTCTGAGACCGACGATGCTTCCACTCCCACCTCAATGAACACTCCCACTGAGATATCGGTAATGCCATCTGGCATCTTCCACAACCCCACCATTGTTTGGACATCTGGTTGCTGTGACGGTTCGTTTCACGCTTCGATGATTTGGATATCATGAGGATCACGCGAGCTGTGGCAAGCAATGTTCGCTGACACCAGTGCCACGCGGGTTCCCACTCGCGCTTGCGAGGGGCAACGGATGGTGCAAAAGGAAAACCGGAGGATGCAATGGTGTAGGGCAACGGCGGCGGAGAAAAGCATCTCCAGCGCAAGATTTAGCCCGCAGGCTGCCACAGTAGGCTGCTGCTGCCTGGTCCTATGCCACCTCCTCCCCTTCCTCCTCCCCCTCCTCCTCCTCCTCCTCCTCCTCCTCCTCCTCCTCGCCCTCGTTATAATGTGCCCGCCTGCAGGACGAGGAGGGGGGGGGGGAGTGGAGTGAGTTGTGGAGCTCCTCAGCAGGGGTCGCCCCGCCCCCGAGCAGCGGAGGCAGCGCCACCCTGCCCGCTTTTTTTTCATCGCTCTTCGGTTCCGAAAGCGGGGTCTCCCGCTGGAGTGGCATGAGGACCACCCTCCACGGAGAGGGGGCCTCGACGCCCCAGGCTGCCCCCCTGAAAGAAAGGGGGCTAGCATCCATGTGTTTCCCTCGGGGCCCTACCCGAGTTTCAAAGCCCCCGAGGGGGGGCGCTCGAGACCATGGACAGGGCCTTTACCCTTACCTTTACCACCTTCTCCTCTTCCCCCTCCTCCTCCTCCTCCTCCTCCTCCTCCTCCTCCTTCTTCTCCCCCTCCTCCTCCTTCTCCTCCTCGTTCTCGTCCTACTCCTCCACCTCCTCCTCCTCCCCGCAGGCCCCGCTGCCGGGATTCTCCAGCGGCCGCTCCGCGCGCCTAGGCGAGGAGGAGGTGCGCGATTCGTTGGGCCGCCGCTCGGGCGTCTCGTTGACGTCGCCGCCGGGCAGCGTGGTCCGTGTCCTCCTCTCGCTCGCCCCTCTCAAGCAGTGGCTGAGCGTCCTGGCCCGCCTATAGGCCGACCGAAGAATGTTCTAAGAGCCTTTCGTGGTCTGCCCAGAATGTTCTTAGAACAGTTCTGGCTGAGACTTTCCCTGTCTGACACACCGGGTCTGTTTTCTCAGAACATTGATGTGGTTCGTGGAACTCTTCCGGGTTGAAAGACAATGTCATAGCAGGCCTGCAGGAATGCTGGGACGGTCGGTCCCTGCTCATTCCTCTCCCCGTCGTGGCTGCAGGTTTTCCGCACAGTGGGGGCCCATGCCTAGACACACCCTGCTTGCCTCCAGGGTGCCCTGGGTTTCTTGGGTTTCGATGGTTCTGAAAAATGGAAAGCGTGGCGTTCCCACACCAACAGAAATCGATGGACGCCCTGGGGTCTCAGGGTTTGGTTTCTCGCGGAATGTTTCTCATGGAGTGGCTTCCACTGTAGTTGCTTCAGCCTCTGGAGCTGGTTTCTTGGTCCTGGTGCTGTCAAAAACAACTCGGGAGTGGCCTGGCGATTACCGCCTTGGGGACTGGCTGTGCCGAAAGCATCTAGGGTCTTCCGAGGGCGGAGGTCGGTCAAGGGAACAGCTCACGAGGTGTCAGGATCCAGTGCAGGACGCTGGTCAACCAAGCGGCGAGGTGTGGGCCGCCGGCCTTCCCTGGGGCCGCTCTTCCTCCCGAGCACTCTCCGACGGCCCTGGGGGCCGAAGCCGGCCTGTGGAGGCCCAGCTCGGCTCACAGCCGGCTGCTTTCGGAGGGGGCCAGGACGAGGAGACATCCGTTCCGGAGCGTTCTGGCACGCATCCAGAGCGTTCTGGAACACTCCGAGCGTTCCTCAGTTCTGGGAAGGCCGTGGCGCCCGAGACATCTTGGGGAGCCGCCGGCTCTCGGAGACTCCCGATCTCTCCTCATCACCCGATGTTGTCCTCGTCCTGGCTTCGTCTCATGTCTCGATGCGTGTCCGAGCCGCAAAGGGGGGTCCAGCGACAAGGGGGTGGTGCAATAGATTTGGTGCAATCGATTTGTGGGGTTGTGATACATTTGGGGCGTGCAGTACAATCCGGGGGGCAAATGCATTGCTGGATGTTCGCGTGCGATACATTCTACTTGCAATACAATGCGTGACCATTCTCCGGCGCAGTGCATTTGCAATACAATCGCCCCAAATAGATTGCACCACCCCCCTTTCAGCTGGACCCCCTGAAGTGTGTGTGCTTGGCGGATGCCACGGGAAGGTCAGCTCGCCCGGCAGCATGGTTCGCGTGCTGGAGGCGGCCTCAGCAGGGCCTCGGAGCCCGTGGATCCCGGGCTCGTGTCGCCGTGCGGTCGGCCCCGGGCCGAGGGATCGTTCGGTGGCGACGACAGGGGCGAATGGCCCAGGGGCGAGCAATGCAGTGGAGACCCATGCCAAGAACGACCCTGCTCGCCTCCAGGGTGCCCTGGGTTTATGAGGCTTCGATGGTGTTGCGATGGGGAGCGTGACGCTCCCGCGCCCAAAAAATACATGGGCGCCCTGGGGTCTCAGGGTATCCTGTCCGAGGCGGGAATTGATACATGACCACCGCCTGGAGGGTCAGTCTTCGGAGCCTCGGCAGGCGGTGGATCTGGACATATTCGGGCCCCTGGATGCCGAACTATATATATATATATACACATTTATATGTGTATATATGTGTATATATATACATATATCAGAGTGATGGGGCCGAACGGTCATTCATTGTCCCTGGGTGCGTGGCTGAGTAAGGAATTCGTGGCGAGAATTCCGCTTGTTACGTCATCATCGTCGTCGTCGTCGTCGTCGTTGTTGTTGTTGTTGTTGTTGTTGTTGTTGTTGTTGTTGATGTTGATGTTGTTGTTGTTGTTGTTGTTGTTGTTGTTGTTGTTGTTGTGGTTGTGGTTGTGGTTGTGGTTGTGGTTGTGGTTGTGGTTGTGGTTGTTGTTGTTGGTGTTGTTCTTGTTGTTGTTGTTGTTGTTGTTATTGTTGTTGTTGTTGTTGTTGTTGTTGAGCTGTCATTTCTGAATAATTATTGTTGATCCCCCCTCACCGGTGCATACGGTTTTTCAAGTCTAAGTGTGCCTCTCGACGCTCGCACCTTGTTTTTTATTAGGGAAAGACTTGAGGCTCAAGCTGGGCCCCTGGCCCCCCGGAGTGCTCCCGCTTAAGACTTCCTTACGATTTAGCCAGGACTCCCGCTCCCACCGAGACTTCCTTGCATTTTATTCAGGAATCGCGCTCTCGCTTGGGACTTCCTTACATACACTTCATTCAGGAATCGCTCTCCCGGCGCTCTGGAGTCGCGCTCTCGCTGGAGACTGGCTTGCAATTTACTGAAGCATAGCGCCCTTGAGTTGGAATTTCTTGCAATTTACTCGAGCGCCGCGCTCCCCACACCCAGGCACCCAGGAGTCGCGCTCACGCTTAGGACTCCCTCACAGATTACTTAGAAATCGGGATCTCGCTGCCCTTCGTGGCCCCGTCGCAGCCCTTCGTGGCCCCCTCGCTTTGTTTCGTGGCCCCGTTGCAGCCCTTCGTGGCCCCCTCGCTGCCCTTCGTGGCCCCGTTGCAGCCCCTCGTGGCCCCCTCGCTGCCCTTCGTGGCCCCGTTGCAGCCCTTCGTGGCCCCCTCGCTTTGTTTCGTGGCCCCGTCGCAGCCCTTCGTGGCCCCCTCGCTGCCCTTCGTGGCCCCGCTGTCGCCCTTCGTGGCCCCGTTGCAGCCCTTCGTGACCCCCTCGCTGCCTTTCGTGGCCCCATATATGTATGCCCTTCGTGGCCCCCGCTCGTTCGCGCCCGTGGTGGCGCTGTATGCATGCCCTTCGTGGCCCCGCTGTCGCCCTTCGTGGCCCCCTCGCTGCCCTTCGTGGCCCCCTCGCTGCCCTCAGTGGCCCCGTCCTTGCCCTCCGCGGCCCAGTATACGTATGCCCTTCGTGGCCCCCGCTCGTTCGCGCCCGTTGTGCCTCCATGTGCGTGCCCTTCGTGGCCCCGCTGTCGCCGTTTGTGGCCCCCTCACTGTCCTACGTGGCCCAGTTGCTACCCTCAGTGGCTCCATCGTTGCCTTCTGTGGCCCCGCATTATTTGCCCTTCGTGGCCCCCGCTCATTCGCGCTCTTCGTGGCCCCATACGCATTCCCTTCGTGTCCCCGCTGTCGCCCTTCGTGGCCTACTTCGTGTCCTTGTGGCCCTGCTGTCATTCTCTCTCGCTTTCGCTCGTCGTCGTCGTCGCCGTCGTCGTCGTCGTCGCCGTCGTCGTCGACGTCGTCGTCGTCGTGGTCGGTCCCCTGTCCGTCCCTCTTGGGGTCGGGTCGACGGTCCGCGGCCGTCCCGCCGATCAGCGCTACCGCTGACCAGGCCGACGGTCCGCGGCCGCCCCGCCGCTTGCCGGGGCCCGGCCTGCAGGGAAGAAAGGTATACCTCCCAAAAGGGGTTCGATCGAAGATGCAGAGGGCGGCGGGCATCGAGGGTTTAGGAAATACGCGTTATTGGACACTCGAGCAGATAAGGGCGAACAGTCTTGAAATGATTGTTATTGTTGTTGTCGTTGTCGTTGTCGTTGTCGTTGTTGTTGTTGTCGAACATTATTTATTCTAAAGAATAATTATTGTTGGGCCCCCTGGTGCGCGCCCCCCCTGCGCCGCCTAGGCCGCAGCTACATTTTCATCATTTTCGTGAGGAAGCCTCAGAAAAGAGGGTGTGTACAGGATCCGGTTGTTTTGTTGTAATCCGCTTTCCCTTGCAAAAAACAATAGAAAATGACATTTCTTGTTCTAATATAATCAAATTTCAAGAATCCCTTGCAAAAAATAAGGTAAAGTGGACATTCGCGCGCGCAAGACGAAATCCTTCCAAAACCTTAGTGTTCGCAGCGATTTTAACATAAAAACATCAAAAAACCAATGGTTTTTCAACAAAAAAATTGTCAAAATCTCATCCCGCGCGCTCTTGCGGATTCGTAGGAAACCCAACACTTTTTAAACATTTCTGTCAAACGGGCTTTTGCGAGCAACTTTTTCGAACTTCTGCGACAACGGTTGCGCACCTGCCAGGGCCATCATCCCTGTCAAATAATACCATGCGGGACACATTCGTTTTTTCTTCGCGCGCGCACGCCGAAATCTTCAAAAACCATTGGGTTTCTTAGGAATTTTAGCACCGCGCAACATAAAATCATACGAATCGCACCGTGGGTCCTCGAAAAACATCTGTACGAATTTTCAAAATTTCTACCCGCGCGCGCTGTCCGAATCCTAAAAAACCAATGGTTTTTTCAACATTTATGTCACATGAGCTCGCGCGAGCTACTTTCGCAAGCTCTTTCAACGGCGTTCGCGCGCCTGCCAGGGGCCACAATCCCTTGCAAAACATGGAACAAAAATGAGCATGTATCGTCTCACAACAACGGAAACAAGTCCTGTGGTATGCTGGCGCCACCCACGTGGTACCACTCAAAATAAGTGTCTTCGCTTGTGTGGTACAGAAACGGAAAAACGTCGTATCAGACGCTAGCGCCTCACCAGCCAAAGCAGTCCATATCATTGTAGGACCTACAGACAGTACCGGCGTCGTACTGGTTTACCGTGGTTTCCTATTCTAGCGTCAGGAACACGTTACCACCAAAAACCAGTACAGGTGTCCAGTGTTGGAACAGGGGGAAAAGTCGTATACTAAGCTAGCGTCCAGAAAATGTTACCACAACAAGTCACTGTACCCATGCGCCAGTGTAGTAGCCACGGTCGTCCGCAGGCCACGAAGTGAAGTGTCCGAACGTCATAGGGCGGGAAGCTGGGTGTGGGTGGTGGCGAAGAGTCGTTTGGAAATGTGGTAGAGCTTGAACCGGCCCCCCCACAAAGTGGGGGTATTGGCGGGCGCCGTATGAAAACCCTGGCACTGGTGAGAACGGAGTGTCCCCACGTGCTAGTAATTGTTGATGTTGTTGTTGTTGTTGTTGCTGCTGCTGTTGTTGTTGTTGTTGTTGTTGTTGGTGTTGGTGTTGTTGTTGTTGTTGTTGTTGTTGTTGTTGTTGTTGTTGTTGTTTGTTGTTGTGGTTGTTGTTGTGGTTGTTGTTGTTGTTGGTGGTGGTATTGTTGTTGTTGATGGTGTTGTGGTTGTTGTTGTTGTTGTGGTTGGTGTTGTTGTGGTTGTTGTTGTGGTTGTGGTTGTGGTTGTTGTTGTTTTTGTTGTTGTCGTCGTCGTCGTCGTCGTCGTTGTTGTTGTTGTTGTTGTTGTCGTCGTCGTCGTCGTCGTCGTTGTTGTTGTTGTTGTTGTTGTTGTTGTTGTTGTTGTTGTTGTTGTTGTTTGTTGTCGTCGTCCCTTCCGCGACCCACCCGCGACCCACCCCCCGACCCACCCCGCGACCCACCCCGCGACCCACCTGCGACCCACCCCGCGACCCACCCGCGACCCACCCCGCGACCCATCCCGTGACCCACCCCGCGACCCAACCGCTACCCACCCGCGACCCACCCCGCGACCCACCCCGCGACCCACCCCGCGACCCATCCGGGACCCATCCGCGACCCACCCGCGACCCACCTTGCGACCCACCCGCGACCCGACCCGCGACCCACCCTCAAGGGAGGAAAAACCACCAGGACCCGACAGTCGACATTTACTAAACGGCCCTGGGCGTTGCCTAAACAGCCCTGCCCTGTTCGATTCATTCCTTGCGTGCGTTTACTAAACGGAGTCGCTTGTCGGGATGATTATTATGGGGTGGATATTCTGCCCTCTGCACCCGCGACCCAATAGCGACCCAACCGCGACCCATTTGCGACGCACCCGCGACCTGCCCACATTGGTTTAACGAAAAAACCGGCGCCTGCGGCGGTCTCGTTGTACAATTTGTGAAACTTTGGCGCCTGCGGCGGGCTTCTCCAGAGTCTCGCAAACTGCCGACGTTCCCACCGCCCACTCTTATCCGCATCTTCGGGGTGCTACGTATATCCATGTCCACCGCCCGCTGGGGCTTCAGGACGTCGGTTCCCAGGCGGTGGATATGGATAGATCCCCGCCTCGCATCCTGGGAGCCTCGCCGAAGACGCTGGCTAAAGGGCACGCGCTGCGGTCAGAGCCTCGGATGGGGAGTGACCCAGCCTGCATGCCCCTGGGTCGATTGTGCCAGGGGGCTCCAGGGACCCGGTCCCAGACATGCGACGTCCTGATTTTTTCAGGACGGCGTCCCTGGAAGTCCTGACCCTGTCCCCGGGACTTGTTTTTCGTCCCGAGTCGTTTTTTGACGGTCCCGAGGCTGGGCGAGGGCCCACCGGGGCCGAAAATAGCCAAACCTTTTCCGTCCTGTGTTTTTTTTTGCGACGCGATCATGCCTGGAACCCCGCGCCTCGAGCTGGATCGCCGCTGGCTGGGCCAGGAGCTCGCATCGGGAGCTGGGGCTTCTAAGGAGACGGCGCGGTCGATGCCGTCGCTGTCGGATCGGTCGCCGTGGCTGGGCCTGCCGGCCGGCGTCAAGGACCGCGCGCTCACGCCCAGCCGGTTCAACAAGGCTTACGTCGGGCCTGTCCCTCTACAGGAGGAGTATTCCACAACAGTCAAAACACAAATAGTCGGGGGGCTGTTTTTGGAGCATTTTTTTTTGTGCCGTTTTTGCATATGTGTTGATTCTTTGTTATTCCTCGTCCAAGACCCGCCTGTAGGAGGACAGGCCCGACCTTAACACAAGGCGCCGGCGGGCATGGGCGTGCTGGACCCCCGGAGCGTCTCGGGGAGCTCCCGGCGCCCCTCGCTCAGCCGCAAGGGCGCCAGCAAGGAGCAGTGCCCCCCCTCCAGCAGCTCCTCGGGCCCCGTGTACCCGGAGTCCCAGCTCCAGCAGCAGGACGACGGGGGCTGGACCGAAACGGCGTCTTGGCGGCTGCGCGGGCCGTCTTCGTCTCGGCTTCGTCTTGCAGCATAGAGGTGGACGGAAAACACAAAACAAGGAAAAGCATTCAATTATCCCGGCAAAGCAACCTAACAGCGATGTGTAAAAGCATATCTGAAAGCATTCCCCTTAAGATTCAAATGAAAATCCAGTTGTAGAATTCTGCTGTTCTCGCAGTCGTAGTCGCATTCGCGATGACAGTCGCAGCGGCAACGGCAGTCGCAGTCACAGCCTCAGCCTCAGCCTGCCTCAGCCTCAGCCTCAGCCTGCCTCAGCCTCAGCCTGCCTCAGCCTCAGCCTCAGCCTGCTTCAGCCTCAGCCTCAGTCTGCCTTCAGCCTCGGCCTCAGCCTCAGCCTGCCTCAGCCTCAGCCTGCATCAGCCTCAGCTCAGCCTCAGCCTGCCTCAGCATCAGCCTGCCTCAGCATCAGCCTGCCTCAGCCTCAGCCTCAGCCTGCCTCAGCCTCAGCCTCAGCCTGCTTCAGCCTCAGCCTCAGTCTGCCTTCAGCCTCGGCCTCAGCCTCAGCCTGCCTCAGCCTCAGCCTGCCTCGGCCGCAGCATCAGCCTGCCTCAGCATTCAAAATGTGGCCCAGGAATGGAGTTCTGGGAATAGAAGAACACGAAGTGGCCTACAGTTGGCTCCGGGCATTCAAAATCATGCCCAGGAATGGAGTTCTGGGAACTTGAAGAGCACGAAGTGGCCTACAGTTGGCTCCGGGCATCCAAAATGTGGCCCGGGAATGGAGTTCTGGGAAGTCGAAGAGCACGAAGTGGCCTACAGTTGGCTCCGGGCATCCAAAATGTGGCCCGGGAATGGAGTTCTGGGAAGTCGAAGAGCACGAAGTGGCCTACAGTTGGTTCCGGGCATCCAAAATGTGGCCCAGGAATGGAGTTCTGGGAGCACCAAGAGCGATTTTGCGAGGATGTCCCAAGCGATTTCGGCTTCGGAGGCAGCCTGTCCGGGTCCCGCCCAGACCCCCCTGAGGAGTCATGATGCTCTCTTTTGAGACCACTAGAAACCTATCAGCAAGAGCTGTTAGGTAAAAACAAGCGAAGACGGAAAGCACTGTTGAGGTCCAGCCCTGCAGGACGACACGCTGGGCCCGGAGCACGAGTTCCACTACCGGTACAACCGGAGGCTGGAATGCTCCTCGCAGTCGGTCGCAGCTCTGAGGTTCACTCCGGACGGCGGCGCTTTCGTCTCGGCCAACGCCGCGGCCGACATCAAGCTGTGGGACACGAAGAACTGGAGCAGATAGGGGGCCAGATGCGAACCCTACCCCTACCTCCCACGAGTTCTGAGGGGGAGGGGGAGGTTCACTTCGTTCGCGAGCTCCCGAGCGAAGTGAACCCCACCCTCCCCCTCAGAACTCGTGGTGGGCAGGGGTAGGGTTCGCATGTGGCCCCCTAGCAGACTGGCGCGCTTCCAGAACTGCCCGGACGAGGTCCTCTGCACCGTGGTGGTGTCGATCTCCCAGCGTTGGATCGTCTGTGTCTACCCGTCGGTGGTCCAGGTGGGCGGCGCAGGGAACGTGAAGTCGGGCCTGTCCATCTACGGGAGGAATATCCCAAAACAGTCCAAAAATAGTCCGGGGACCATTTCTTGAGCAGTTTTTGGTCCTTGCGGCTTTTTTCTGGACTATTTTTAATTTCTCGCCCAAAATCCCCCCCTGTAGGGGGACGTGCCCGACTTACTTACAGAAAGCGGGGCCGGCCGCGCGGACGTTCGCGCGTACGCCGCCCGCGTGGTGCCGCGCGTGAGGCGCCCTCCCCGGACCCCCTTCGGGAGCGGCCCCCGGGAGCCCGCAGCGACGCTCCAGGCCTCCGGAAAAAATCACGACGCGATCACGTCTGGGCTTCTAAGGAGCCCGTCGTCTGAGGGGGGCCCGGCAGCGGCCCCCGGGAGCCCGCAGCGGCGCTCCAGGCCCCCGCCCCGCGTCCCCAGGAGGCGCCGCGGGCCTGCGCCCCGCGCGGGGCAGCAGCACGGGCCCCGGAGGTCTGGGCGACGGGCTCCGAGCTCCTCCCTTTGTGGAGGCCTGGAAAGTGGCCCCAGCACCAACACGGGGGGTGGCTTCCCCAGACCCCCTGGGGCAATGAACAAAATCACGACGGGAGTTTTTTTTTGCTATCTTCGGCCTCTGGGGGCCCTTACCGGCCCGCGGGACCATCAAACAACGACTCAGGATGAAAAACCGGTCCCGGGGAATGGGTCGAGGCCTCCAGGGGTCGACGTACTGAACAGATCATGACGTCGGGGGTCTGGGTCTCTTGCCTTCGCGGTGTGCCACGTGGACAAACCGTCGCGCATGTGCGCCGCGTCGCGGTGCACCGTCCTGTTCTCCGCTGACCAGGTGTACATGGGGCACTCCCCCAACTCGATGGTCCTGGCCCTGCCCGCGGCTGCCAGCGCAACAGGCTCCAGGCCCGTCCGGTGGGCGTCAGCGGCCTTCTCGCCGACCAGGGAGGTCGACCACTCGCACGGCTCGGCCGGGCAGGACAACTACCTGGCGGTCCTGGGCACGGGCCACCTTCGGATTCTCGACTACGCGACTGGTTGGCGCCTCGGCATGCCCGGTCGCACGGTCTCGCTGATGCAGGACGCCAGCCCGACATGCATCGTGTTCACGACGGACGCTGCCGGCCCGCACCAGGGGATCGGGCGAGGGTGAGCGCCCTCCGGAGACGGCAGGAGTACTTAGCACAGGCCCTCCTGCCTTCGACGAAGCCATCTTGCTTGGAATAAAACCAGGGCCTGGTCAGCGTTCGGGTCGGTCGAGCCCCTTCAGGTGATGCCCAGGAGGTCGGCGCACTGACCCGACTCATTGCGGCCCTGAAGCGAACCCAGACATGCGACGTCCTGATTTTTTCAGGACGGCGTCCCTGGAAGTCCTGACCCTTTCCCCAGGACCAGTTTTTCGTCCTGAGTCGTTTTTTGACGGTCCCGAGGCCCGGCGAGGGCCCCCTGGGGCCGAAAATAGCCAAACATTTCCCGTCCTGTTTTTTTTTGCGACGCGATCATGTCTGGGAAAGTTCCACAATTTGTTTGTCAGGTCAGCGCTCGGGCGGCCCCAGGGCCGCTCAGGCAACTCCCCATAGGGGCCCGTCGCTGACCTGGCTGCTTGTGTGTTCAGCTCCCTGTCCCAGAGGCCCCCGGACCCCTCCTGAGAAGCCCCCCTGCCTTCTCTGCAGGGCCGCCAGAGGGGAGGGGAGGGGAGGGGAGAGGAGGGGACCACCCCCAATGTTGCGCGCCGCCGAGGACGGCGCTTGGATCATCTGCGCCTTCAGCAGCGGGCAGATGCAGGTCTGGAACGCGTCCTCCCTGTGCCTCCACAAGACCGTGGGCGCGCACAGCGGAGGGGGGGGACCGGGGGAAGGGTCGCAGGCCTCGAGGTTGACACCAACACCAACACCAATATCGTCGGCGTGCCTCCACCGAGGGAAGAAGATCCCGATCTCGGTGATGGTGGTAATACTCTGGCTTCCAAGGTGGCCGAAATGTTACCACCGACACCGAAATCCAGGATCATCTTCCCCCTGTGGACCCAGACCCCCGACATCATGATTTTTTCATTACGTCGACCCCCGGAGGTCTCGACCCATCTCCCTGGACCGGTTTTTCATCGTGAGTAGTTTTTTGACGGTCCCGAGGGCCGGTAAGGGCCCCCAGAGGCCGAAGATAGCAAAAACCTCCCGTCGTGATTTTTTCATTGCCCGAGGGGGTCTGGGGAAGCCACCCCCTGTGTTGGTGCTGGTGCCAATTCCCAGGCCTCCACAAAGGGAGGAGCTCGGAGCCCGTCGCCCAGACCTCCGGGGCTCGTGCTGCTGCCCCACGCGGGGCGCAGGCCCGCGGCGCCTTATATGGGAACGCGGGGCGGAGGCCTGGAGCGTCGCTGCGGGCTCCCGGGCCCCCCTCAGACGACGGGCTCCTTAGAAGCCCAGACGTGATCGCGTCGTAACAGAAGCAGGACGGGGGGCTTTGGGGTATTTTCGGCCCCAGGGGGCCCTCGCCGGGCCTCGGGACCGTCAAAAAACGACTCAGGACGAAAAACCGGTCCCAGGGAAAGGGTCGGGACTTGCGGGGACGCCGTCCTGAAAACATCAGGACGTCGCATGTCTGGGAGGAGATCCGGGCCCGCGCGCGTTGGCCGCTCTCTGAAGAGATGTGCTGGCCGCGGAGCCCCAGGTCCTGATCGCTTCCTCCGCGCCCCTGCCTCACGAACCGATCTGGGGCCTCGTGCTCCCAACAGCGCCGACAGGTGCGCCGGGCCAGGCCCGCCCTATGGGTATAACCACCCTCCAGCATCTTTCGACCGTCCTGCGAGCCAACGAGGCACGCCATCGGAGGTCTGGAGTCCATGCGGGGCCTCCTCGAGCCCCTGGGGCCGGCGCCTCTCACAGGCGCGCCTTTCTTGTCGTTGCCAGGCCCGGCGGCCCCGGCACGGCCCCCATGGGGGGCGACACCGCGGAGAGAACACGCGCTGCCGTGGTGCAAGACGCCGGAGGTCTGGGAAGGGGGACAGGGGTGAGAGGGAGGGGGGGAAGGGGGAGTGGGTGAGCCAGAGGCGACGACAGGGGCGAATCAGCCCAGGCTAGAGTGTATTCAGGTGCGCCGATGATTTATGTGTCCTCGAACAGGCTCCCGGGCGAATGCGTGTAATGCCCGCCCCTGGGCTATTCGCCCCCACCGCCGCCGCCGAGTGAAGGGGGGAAGAGGGAGGGAGGCTGCGTCACCTGCCTGGACCCGTCGCCCTTTGAGCTGGGCACCTCCTGCCGGATCCTGTCGTGCTCGACGGACAAGTCCATGCGCCTCTGGGACTCCTTCGGCGGCAACTTCACCCTGGAGCAGCACCTCTTCGACGTCCCTCGAAGGGCGCGGAGGAGGGGGGGGGGGGGGCTTCGCGAGGTGTTTTCGGCCCTCCCCGAGAAGGCAGGGGAGGAATGGGGGGGGGCTTCTTGGACATCCTCTTGCCTCCCGACCCAGACATGCGACGTCCTGATTTTTGTTCAGGACGGCGTTTCTGGAAGTCCTGACCCTTTCTCCAGGACCAGTTTTTCGCCCCGAGTCGTTTTCTGACACTCCCGAGGCCGGGCGAGGGCCCACCTGGGCCGAAAATAGCCACACATTTCCCGTCCTGTTTTTTTACGACGCGCTCGTGTCTGGGGAGAGAAGCCTCCTCAGAAGCGTCTCGGCCCGCATGACTAGCCGTAAGTCGGGCCTGCCCCTCTACAGGGGGAATATTCAAAAAATAGTCCGAAAATAGTCGGGGTACTATTTCTTTTGTGCACTTTTTGTATTTTTTATTTTTCGTCCAAAATCCCCCTGTAGGGGAACATGCCCGACCTCAGACCCAGACCCCCGACGCCATGATTTTTTTATTACGTCGACCTCTGGAGGTCTCGACCCATACCCCTGGACCGGTTCTTCATCCTGAGTCGTTCTTTGACGGCCCCGAGGGCCAGTAAGGGCCCCGAGAGGCCGAAAATAGCAAAAAACCTCCCGTCGTGATCTTTTCATTGCCCGAAGGGGGTCCGGGGAGGGCGCCTCACGCACGGCACCACGCGGGCGGCGTACGCGCGAACGTCCGCGCGGCCGGGCCCCGCTTCCTGTAAGTCGGGCACGTCCTCCTACGGGGGGATATTGGGCGAAACCAAAGAAAATAGTCAAGACAAAAACCCACAATGCAAAAACTGCTCAAAAAACGGTCCCCTTATTTTTTGACTATTTTGGAATATTCCTCCCGTGGCTATCGGGGGGCCGCCCGCCCCGCCGGCAATCGGGGGGCCGCCCGCCCCTCGCGCGCGGCGCGCCGCCCCCCCCCCCGTGCACCGCGCGGCCAGGTCACGGCCACGGACGCGGGCGTGCGCCAGTGCGTGTTCTCGTCCTCCTGCCAGTGGGTCCTGTCGGTCGCCCACGAGATCACCCTGTGGCGCGTGGTCGTCGACGGGATGGGGCCCGGGACCATCTAGGGGAGCGAAGAGTGGCATAGACATGACAATTCGGAGGTCCGCGCGGATTTCTCGGATCGGCGCTGGGGGCCCCCTGGCGCCGCCTCTGGCGCCGCCCCCGGCGCGCCTGGGAAGGGGGGTCCAGCGCCGCTCCGAGAAATCCGCGCGGACCTCCGAGTTCTTATGTTTATGTGATTTTTCGTTCCCTTAACCATGCAGCTGCGGGCGCACCAGCGCTTCAACGCCGCCCAGTGCGTGGAGAACCCCTGCGCCGTGGCCTTCTGCTACACGTCCGACGCGATCGCCATGGGGCTGCGCGACGGCACCCTCTGCCTGTGGACGAAGGTGTCCGGCGCGCCGGCCCAGAGCCAGGTCGTGAGCAAAAAGACGGCCTCACTCGCGAGTTCCAGCAGCACGCCGTACAAGACGCCCAATCCGCTGGGGCGCCCTCTGGCCAGGATACAGCCCGTCCAGAGCAGGCTGCTTCTCCTTCCCTCTCCTGCTTCTCCCCGTCCCCGGAGGCCTCCAGAACGTCAAAGTATGCCCACGTGAAACAGCAGCGCGATCCCCGAGCCCCATACCTCCGACGTCGTGAGTTTCTCATTCGGCGTCCCCGATACATATTTCTTTCCCCGGCCTCGGACAAAAAGTGATTCCGTGTGCTTTTGTCTCAGGTCCCGGGGCCAGGAAGTGACCCTCAGATGCCGAAAACGGTGTAAGAGAACATCTGCCTTGGAGGAGGAGGAGGAGGAGGAGGAGGAGGAGGAGGAGGAGGAGGAGGAGGAGGAGGAGGGGAGGAGGGAGGAGGGAGGAGGAGGAGGAGGAGGAGGAGGAGGAGGAGGAGGAGGAGTAGGAGGAGGGAGGAGGAGGAGGTGGAGGAGGAGCAGGAGGAGGAGGAGCCGAGGCGTCGGGGGGGGGTTGGACCCTCCCTCTTGTCTGGGAGCGCGCTCTGGTCAGGATTCCGAGGCGGATCAAGCCGTGGCGACGAGAGCAGCCCTGGAGCCCGAAAAGCTGGCCAGAAGACGCCCGGGATGCTGAAGCCTCGGCGTCCTCGGTGCCCTCGAGCCTCGATGGAGCCCTCCTCGGTCCTCCTCCTCCTCCTCCTCCTCCTCTCCTCCTCCTCCTCCCTCCCTCCCTCCCTCCCTCCTCCCCTCCCTCCCTTCCTCCTCCTCGTCCTCCTCCTCCTCCTCCTCCTCCTCCTCCCGCAGGCTGCTTGACATCCAGGACCAGGCGCAGGCCCTCGGCGGGGCGCGGAGGAAAAGGGGGGGGGGGGGGGGGGCCGCGGCGCGACGAGGGCGACGGCCCGGCCCCTCCGAGGGAGGCAGACCGGGGCCTGTTCTGGGGGGCGCCATGCTTTCAAGGATGCGCACGTCGGGGTCTTTTGATCGGGGGCGGCACAGAGGGGGGTGATGACTTGGGGGGGGGGGTCTCACGGCGGGGCCATGATGTTTCCCCAGATGTCACGGCGCCTCTGCTTGTTTCCTTACGTCCTTGCCCCCCCCCTGGGCCGCGCACACGCCGCCTTGGACGCCCCCCCTCTTGGCCGCCCCCGATTTGAGGGGGGAGGGGGTTCAGGGGCCATTTCAGGGGGTCAATATAGGTCGCAAGCTGGAACATATACATTACCAGTGGCGGGTTGTTTCTCCATCCCACGACTTTTTTAAAGGGGTCAGGGACGACGTCGGGGTGGTGTGGCGTATACTTTTCCCCCGGTATCCAAGGGAAACAAAATGTATACACCAGGATCCCGTATACACCAGAATCCGCGTTCCTGTGCGCATTCCAGTGCAGGGTCGGGAAAAGCGTCAGTGTATAGAGTTCGTTTCCCTATTAGGGAGGCCATTTTTATCCCTTTTAGGACCATGTCATGGCCCTTTCAGGGCGTTCTGGGACATTTTAGAAATTTTTCTCGGGCCGAAGAAGGCAGGGGGGGTGATTGCTTAATTTTTTAGGGTGGCGCTTTAGGCGGTTTCAAGGCGCGTGGAGCAGTGACGGGTCCCGGTTCCATACGAATCAGGCGACGCTGACTCCGATCTCCGGGGCTGTTTATTCTCCCCGATCCGTAAATCTGGCGCCCACGCGCCAGGTCCACGGATCCGTAATCCATTTCAGCGCGTGACTTCTCTTCGGCCGTCGTCCGCCACCCTGGAGCCCACCTCGGCCATCTTGTGCCGTCCTGCTGGCGCCCTCAGGGGCGTCCCTGGGCCCTCCGTGCGGAAGCTCTGCGCGGCTGCGGGGGGGTTGGCGGCCGAGGCAGTGGCCGGGGGCGAAGTGCCCGTGGGAAGAGTTTGGAGAGGCCCCTCAGGGTGGATGGGATGGCTCTGAGCTGGCTCGATGATCGATGCTCAGGATAGAGAACTGTTTTGGCGTTTGTTCGTTCAGTTTGAGCCTCCGCGGTGCTTCTCGCTGTCACGCCTCAATCCCCTTTGAAATTCCATCCAGCGGGAACGCAACGGAGGACAGGCCCAGGGGTAGACTTCCCGAGCCGAGACCCTCCCGCTTCGCGAAACAACAATGCAGGACGGGAGATTTCTGGTAATTTTGGGCCTCTCGGGGCCCCCGCCAGGACCCAGGACTTGTCGAAGAGGACGGCTGGGGGGGGGGGGTCGACATCACGACGTCGGGGGGTCTGGGGACAGCGCCTTTTGAAAAGAAAGTAGCGGGAGCTTCCACAAAGTTCTCTGCCTTCCAAGACCCCCGCCGTCATGATCTTTTCAGTACGTCGACCCCTGGAGGTCTCGACCCATTCCCCCTGGATCGGTTTTTCGTCCTGAGTCGTTCGTTGACGGTCCCGAGGGCCGGTAAGGGCCCCCAGAGGCCGAAAATAGCAAAAAACAATCCCGTCGTGATCTTTTCATTGCCCGAGGGGATCTGGGTTCTAAGACGCCACCCTCCCGGCCAAAGCCATGGGTACCCGAAACCCTCTCGGGAGGCCTGCGCCGGTCGGTGCTCCGGGCCGCGCCCGGCCGTGGCGACGCTGGCCCTGCAAGCTCCCGGGAGACTCTGGAACGACGGGACGACCGACATGGGTACGGGAAGAATGGGTCCAGTGCCCAGCAGCAGTTCTTGTGCATTTTGAACAGGACTCGCTGTCGGTGTCGCCGCGGCCTGTGCACAGTCGAGGCAGAGGGCCGCCTGCCCCACAGCGGCCGCTGTTGGTTCGGGGCAGCATTTGTTGTTGGGCATTGTATTCACTTTGTCCGTACCCACGTCGGGCGTCCAGAACGACGTCCTGGCCGTTGCCCTCTTCCCCAGTCGGCGCCACGCAAGCGTGACCTCTCGCTGGGGTGGCCCTCGGCCCCTGAAGACGGGGCGGGGTGGGCACGAGCGGGCCTCCTAGCCGGCTCAAAGTCAAAAGAGGCATCATAGCCTCATCAGTCCAGATGGATCCACTCACGGATCCACTGCAATTGATTTCCATTGAATTCATTCCATGCGTAGCATGGTCTCCCCTCTTGGGCAAGGAACAAAACCATGGCGGGAGGTCGTTTGTGGTGTTTTCGGCCTCGGGGGGCCCTTACCGGCCCTCGGGACCGTCAACAAACGACTCGGGATGGAAAAGCTGTCCAGGGGAATGGGTCGAGACCTCCAGGGGTCGACGTAATGAAAAAATCATGACGTCGGGGGGCTGGGGTGCGGGCCCATCGGAGACTCCCGACCACTGATCGCGCTGCGATATCAGCGGCTGGCGCGCGTGGGTGCGGCCCCCCACACCGCGCCCCTCCGAATGCCGCGCACCAAGGGAGACTCTTGATTATCCAGGGGTCGCTCCTTGCGTGTAGCCGACCCAGGCCCGTGACATGGACGTG